CTTGGTACAGGAGAAGGGCAGCAAAAGATAGGCAGCCCCCAGAAAGATGGATTAGTACAGTGGATGCAACAATGACTGCAAAGGAACACTATGAGGATGGCACAGGACGGGGCAGCATTTAATTATATTATGCACAGTGTTTCTTGAGCCACAAGATGGCAACTAACCCACTAGATGTCAGCTAACAACAATAAAAACAGGAGGACGTATGCGTCTAAGAATATGCTGAACTATATCTTAAGAGAAACTCTTCTTAGTTTAGAGCACCAGTTCTCAACCTGTGAGTCACGACCCCATTGGGGGGTTCGAACGACCCTTTGACATAGGTGACCGATTCAAAACAGTAGCAAAATTACAGTTATGAAGTAAAAGCAAACATAATTTTATGATTGAAGAGGCACCACTACATTGGGAACTGTATGAAAGGGTGGAATTAGGAAGGTTGAGAATCACTGACTTAGAGGAACACACAATATTGGTACAGTAGAAAGGCAGCAAAAGAGAGGCAGCCCCTACAAGATAGAATAGCACAGTGGCTGCAACAATGAGCTCAAGAAAAGAACCACTGTCAGCATGGCACAGGACGGGGTAGCGTTTCATTATGTTATGCACATAGCTGCTATGCGCCGAAACCCACTCAAGGCACCTGAAAACACTAACAAGTACTTGTGCTTCTAACAATATTCTGAAGAAGACCTTAAGAGAAACTCCTCATAGTTTAGAGCAGCGGTTCTACACCAGTGGGACGCGACCCCTTTCAGGCAGTTCCAATGCCCTTTCAGAGGGGTGGCCCAATTCATAACAGTAGCAAAATGACACTGATGAAATAAGAACGAACATAATTTTATGGTAGGACATTCATCACAACCTGGGAAACTGTATGAAAGGTTCGTGACATTAGCAAGTTTGAGAGGAAGATACAAATGTTGGTACAGTAGAAAGCAAGCAATGAGAGGCAGCCACCAAAAAGATAGATTAGCACACTGGCTGCAGCAATGACCAGAGGCCAAGAACTACTGGGAGGATGTCACAGAACGGGGTCGCCTTTCATTATATCGTGCATAGAGTTGCTATGAGTCAAAAAGCACTCGAAGGCACAATAACAGGACTAGTACTTCTCACAATATGCTGAACTACATCTTAAAAGAAACAGCTCTTTGTTTAGAGCAGCGATTCTCAACCTGTGGGTCGTGACCCCTTTCACAGAAGTTGTCCAATTCATAAAATTAGAAAAATTACAGTTTATGAAGTAGCAATGAACACAATTTTATTATTCAGTGGTCACGACTACATGAGGAACTGTATGAAAGGTCGTGGCATTTGGAAGGTTGAGAATCACTGCTCTAGAGGAAGACACAAATCTTGATACAGAAGGGCAGAAAAAGTGAGGCAGTGCCCACAAAGGTGGATTAGCACAGTGGCTGCAACAATGAGTGCAAGCAAAAGAACCACTGTGAGGATGGCAGAGGATGGGGGAGCATTTCATTATATTGTGCATAGAGTTGCTATGAGGCAAACCCTCTCGACGGCACCCAACAACAACACCAGTAGGACTTGTACTTCTAATAATATGCTGAAGAAGACCTTAAGACAAACTCTTCTTAGTTTATATAGCGGTTCTTAACCTGTGGGTCGTGATAACTTTGTGGGGGGGGGGCAAATGACCCTATCATAGGGGTGGCCCGATTCATAACAGTAGCAAATTACAGTTATGAAGTAGCAACGAAAATAATTTTATGGTTTGGGCGCCACCACTGCATGAGGAACGGTATCAAAGGGTTGTGGCATTAGGAAGGTTGAGAACCACGGCCCTAGAGGAAAACAGAAATCTTGGTACAAGAGAAAGGCAACGAATGAGAGATAGTCCCAGAAAGATGGATTGGCATAGTGGCTCTATCAATGAGCTCTAGCAAAAAAAACAACGATGCCACAGGATGGGGTTGCGTTCCATTATATTGTGCATAGAGTTCCTATGAGTGAAAAGGCACTCAACAGTACCTAACAACAAGAACAAGAACAAGAACAACAACAACAACAACAACAACAACAGGATTTGTGCTTCTCACAATATGCTGAACTACATCTTAAAAGACACACCACTTAGTTTAGAGCAGGGATTCTCAACCTGTGGCCCGCAACGCCTTCCGGCCATAGAACGACCCTTTCACAGTGGTCACCCTATTCATAACAGTAGCAAAATTATAGTTATGAAGTAGCAACAAATGCAATTTTATTATTGGGTGGTCACCACTACATGAGGAACTATATGAAAAGGACTTGGCATTAGAAAAGGTGAGCTTGAAGGTAAACAAGCGGCCATCTAGCGCAGAAGCAACAAAGCCGACATGGAAGAACAGACCAGCCTGTGTGATCACGAGGTGTCGAACGGATCACTGAAGACAAATGGGTGCATAAGCAAATATGGCGAAGAAAGTTGATGGTACTCGGCTATCAAAAAGTATAGCGTCTGGGGTCTTAAAGGCTTGAAGGTAAACAAGCGGCCATCAAGCTCAGAAGCAACA